CTCTGGTTCAAGGAACCGAGCCAGCTAAAAAATTGTTGAGTGTCGTATCATTACCCGAAGTTACTAAAGTATCATCCATTAAGTTCCCAAGCTGGGGTGTGCCTCCATTTTTTTTCTTCCTAGATGTGTATACCTGTGATGTGTATCTAGATGTGTATACCTGTCATTCCTCATCCGAAGACTGGCTCATCTGATCAGTGTGATCAACAGATTGTCGAGCATGTAGAAGAGGATGAGCCCCTAGCTCTTGATTAACAGTAACAACATTCTCATTCTGAAGAGATAGTAAATATGTCTCCTTAGCACCTGATGTTTCCTAAGGTTGTGGAGCTGCGATACTATCCTGATTATCGGACCGAAGAATATCCTTTGGAGGTAAGGATCTTGAAGTATTGTTTTCAATAGTGATAAAGACTGTAGGATGCCCAAGTGAATTATCTTCCAATACATCAGTCGGAAGAATAGAAACAATATTGTCTCCGGTAGTGGGAGGGAGAGGTGGCATCGTGTCAACCGGTGTTTCAAAAGTCTGTGGAATGCACTCGGGGGCAGAAGAGGGATAGGTATGAAGTGAGGCAGATCCAGTAGTATTTTTACTCTGAGGTTTTAGATTTGGATGCAAATGATAACATTGAGAAAGAGAGTGTCCAAACATTCGGCAGTGGATGCAATAAAGAGGTATCTATTCAAGTTATGCTTGCTGCCAAAATCTCTGATGTTGTGTGTCAATCCATATCTCTCCCGGAAAAAGTAAAGTAATATCGCGTTCTATCAAAATTCTGGCTTCAGAAGGCCGAGTCAGATTCACTGTAGGCATATCAGTTCTGAGAGGTTTACCGTATACCATCGCTAAAGCGAAGATGAGCTCTTGATCGTAAAGGTGGACCTTCAAAGCCAAACAGGAATGGTAGGAGGTTCAGTACAAGGGTCAAAATCCACCGTCCATTTTAAAACCTTCATCACCTGGTTGTCTATTCAAAAGAGTCTTCTCGCAACCAAATAAGCGTAGTCTGCATCATTTGATAATTGAATGAGAATGTGTCGAGCATCTAATTTACCAATCTTCTAACCCCCTTTCAGCTTCATTTGCTCAAAATCCTTTCGAATTAGCTCAAGTTTAGGGTATCCAAAAAAAAACTTACCTACTAAGAACAGACGGCAGGGCGCAGCTAGGGTGAAAATCTCGGCCTCTATGAGAAAGATTGCAGGTTTGTCATTTTTACGGGAAGCTTTTTTGAAAAATTCGATTTCAACGCCAATAGCAAAAGTATCGTGATAACCTCACGGGAGCGGGGTTATCACCGACGAGGGCGGCAGTGTAGGAAAGAACCCCTAAGGCCATCACCTTGGTCGGTGCCTCACTGCGTGTGCACTGTCGCTGAGCAGCAGGATGCAGTCTGCGACTAAGGACGACACTCAACGCAGACGACAAGCGGCGTGCGAAGCAGCAACAGCAACGTGCGACGAGGGCGAAGTGACGGAAACAGTGACGTGTGAAGCGACGGAAACAGCGAAGCAGCTAGAAACAACGACGAAGCGGTGCTGGCGTAGCGCTCCAGAGAAGACGACCGAAAATGAAGAAGGCTCAGTAAACAACGAGAGCAAGATGTATCCGAATCCGACGAAACAATAGCCACTCATGAAGACGATGGAGTGAAGCCGGAGGTACGCTGGGTTTCGCCATCGGGCGAAACCCTAGCAGAGCTCGTCGCCATTCAATATAAGTATATATATATAGATATATTAGAAAAAGCCCGAGGGCAAATATATTAATACGGAAAAGATACAAAAATATTGTATGAGATGGCCTAAAAGAAATCTCAACTCATACAATACAACACACACAAAACCCAGATAAAACAAAGATACATAAAGGTAAAAAACCAAAAAGCCACAAAAGGGCACAAAAAGTGTTAGGGACGTCTCACTTTAGTCCTTCTACCTCTAGTTCCCGGAAGTGAGCCGATTAACAAATTGGTAAGGTAGGTACAATGGCCCGTAGTAGCCAAAGTATCATCCATCAGATTCCTGAGATCTTCATTCTTTTTCTTCCTCCTAGATGTGTAGACCTGTCATTCCTCACCCGATGATTGATCATCTGATCAGTAGATTCCAAAGTTGGTCGGACAGATATAGGTCGTTGCACGTCTTGATCCCCATGAGCCTGAGTAATATTAATATCTTTCTGGACCTGATGAGGCGGTAGTGAAGCAGTAGAAGTATTTCCACATTTATTATCAGTGATAGGTTATAGGGCAGGCGGGGTATGAGGAAACTCCCTCTCCCCCACGATAGGGGGTTCCAAAGACGAGAAAGCTACAACTGGGGACTGTATGATTGTCATATTGACTGCAGGGATAGTGACGTCGTCCGGGGTATCCTTCTGATGATCAATAGTGTCTAAAAACTGGGACCTGATCAGAAGGAGATGGAATCACAGCCTCTGACGGAGCAGTTTGCTTTTTTGGTCTGAGTTGGGGGTGTATATGGTGACATTGAGAACTGGAGTGTCCGAACATACGACAGTTCGAACCATACGAAGGAAAAGATTCAATCTCTACCTTCTGCCAATATCCATAGTGTTGTGTGTCCAACCAGATTTCCTCAGAAGCGGGTGAAGTAATGTCTCTTTCAACAAGTACTATGGCTTCAGAAGAACGGGACAGATTAAAAGTAGAAATGTACGGCTTGAGTGGCTTCTCATAAGCTGAGGCAATAAAGTACGATACTTTTTGACAGAATACTTTTTGAGAAAAATAATGAAATTTCAGACCAGTGAGACGAATCCAAACCGGAATGATTGGTGGTTCTGTCTGTGGGTCAAAATCCACAGACCATTTCAGAATTTTTATTGTTTTGTTATCAATTCATATTATTCTTCTAACAAATAAGCGCATGTAATCTTCTTCATTATTAACTTGAATAAGAATGTGTCGCTCATCTAATAATCCAATTTTTCATTCTTCAACAAAGTGCATAAGTTCAAATTCTTTGCGAATGAGCTCCATTTTGAGATGACCATATAGAAATTTTCCAACCAAATTCAGACAACAGGAGGAAGCAAGTTGAATACCTTCAACTTCTGTAAAAAAGATGAGAGGTTTCTCATTCTTCCTACCAAGTTTCTTGATGTCCTCCGCCCACTCAAACGAAGGAGGGAAAGATAACGATTTTGGCGTGCCTGAGGCGTGGACACCGACAAGGGCAGCTGCATACGATTTATCTGAAGCCATCATCAAAAATAGGTGCGACGTTCAGAGAAGAAAGCAGACAAGGGAAAAAACGCGTCGAAATAGCCGAAGCTAAAAAAGGGAGGACGTTGCCAGACAGGATGAGCGCAGAGAATGCAGAAGTCGCGGACAGTACCCGCGAGACTGAGCCGCAGAACACGCGAGCGGTACCCGCGAGACGGGCCGCAGAGCCTGGAAATCCCGATCCAGGAAAGCTCGCGAGACAAGAAGACGGGAGACGAGTCTCGTCTCAGAGCCGGAGAAGAAGCGGGGGAGACGAACGGTATTGAGCGCGAAGACACAGAGAGGACACAGCGAAGTCGTAACTGTTGTTAGGGTTAGCCATACAGTGAAACCCTAGTAGAGCCGAGCGAGGAAGGCGACGCCATAGGGGGTATATATATATGTAAAAATTGAAGTTTAGGAGTTAAGAATTGAGTGGTATGTATATACATCTTCCTAATTAAAACATCTTGAAATGTTTCAAAACTGACAACACATGGCTTCACAACCTAGTAAATTCTATAGCAATTAGAAAACACATTAGTTCTGCAAAATCAAATAAGAGCGTTCATGATGTCCAGACGAAGTAATCAAGAAATTTCCAAAGCATAAAACTACTTTCTTACAATATAACTTTAAATTTCTAAAGATCAAGATGGCATTAACCCTCAAATTCTATTTACCAACCACATGAAAGATTATTTCCAAGTTGCTGATGCTATTAAACGTGCTTTATATGAAATATGCAAAACACACAGCTTAATATTATTACAATAGCATAAGATTAGTTGATAGATGAGTCATCACAAGGTAATGGGGACAGTGCATGAGATATTTTCAGCACTACAAAAAGATTTGGTCATGTAATGCATTAAAAAAAAAACAATATTTTGTGGTGCAACAGACACTTTCAACTATGTTTTTGCTACAAATTAAGTAGAACTCAAAGCCTTGATAATGAGTTGCCGCAGACAAGACTCACTGTTATTCGCTTAGATGTATAACACTCCAAGGACATAAATGATCACGTTGCATAACTAAAAACTAAGTCATTAATGCTCTACAAGCTGAAGGTAGTAAATCTTTAATCATTGCATCTATTGTCATAACAACCACTTTTTTACTATTAAGGGTACAAAATGCGAGCTAATCAACCTGCATTAAAATTTTAACTTTTGCAGGCACCTGAAAATCTGTGATCAAAAGCCACACGTCATTTTGCAACAAAATAAGAGGTTTTAGAAAGCATGGAGTTTAATATTCTAAATTGCAGGCATAATAATAAGTAAACGTGATATCACACCAAGGACATGATCATATGGTCTTAACACTCAATATTATATCATGTCGGGCTAAAATAGTTTATAAGTGCAAAATGTAATTTTCGGTAAAAAAAAGATAATTGGTGAAAATAGAACATCATGTCAACCACCACTTAAATAAAAATTCCAAAGCTCAGCTTAATAAGAGAATAATGCCACATAAAAGTTTAACAATCAAAGTTCATATATATATAACAGCCATTCCCATTCTGCACAACCTTGTGGTAGTAGATTGGGAAGTAACAAGGTTGTACATTAATGGAAAGAAAAAGCTCTTGCTCAATCATTTCAAGTGTCATAACTCATGTATTACTTAACGAAGAACCAGAAACACATGAATGTATCTTAATTGAGCATTAAGCCAAATATAGGAATAGGTCAGTGCAACATTTTTACAATGGTAAACAAAAAAATTAAAAGAAATTTAGAAGCTGGGATAGAATACATATTCTCTGGGTCAATGTTAGCGAAGGCATATGCGGCACACCGCCCAGAATATGAATAACCGGCATGCCTGCAGTTTAAAAAAATGAAAGCATATACAAAAGTTCAATAACCAAAAATAAGATAATGATAAAAGTAATGAAGACCAAAATTAATTCTACGCAAACTTACGGAGCAATAACTCCTCTAATATCATGGTTTTTTGGCAAATCAGTTTGTCGGAGCCATTCATCAAGTTCCTCTCCAAGCCTTTTTGCTGATAAGAAAGCAAAATCGAAGATCATTTTTAAAAAAGAATATTTAAAATATGAATAAGTTCTTTAATATTCTTTGATCAGAAAGATAATTAAGTTTCCAAGTATTTATTGAATTCAAATTCGCTCTAGATTGGAAAATTATAAATAAATGAAAATCAAGACAATAAATGATGCCAAAGTTAACCCAAACAAAAAGATAATGATAATATCATTGTTGAAATTCAAATAAGCAGTTACAAACAACCAACTAAAATAGGAAATAAGAAAGACACACGCCACAAACACCAACTTGGGTCGAAGATAGTGGGAAAGCTGCAGTTAGGAAAGAACAAAGGTTAGAATGGGAGGGGCGGCAGCAAGTTAAGCAAGGGTTGGCGATTAAACTGTCGAGGGGGAGGGGGGAGG